TCTATATCCTGGTCATGCATTCCCATTTATTTACCAAAGAAAGTGAATTTATTTTGTTTCTTTTTGTATACTTTCTTTAATGATTTCTAATTTCCACACTTAATCATTCGCAAGCATCCCATAATTGTTTGCCCTTCTATTGGTTGGCCAACATTTTTATGCTCAATTGCGTTAGGGATTGTGATTCGGTTTTAATGATTCAGTTTTAATGATTCTGTTATTTGATTGGGAATGAAATTATTAAGCTGTTTATCTTCTGTATCCTGGTTGAGCATTCCCATTCATTTACCAAAGAAAGTGAACTTATTTTGTTTCTTTTTGTATATTTTCTTTCTGTTCTTGGATATATGTGTTAGAAGCAGATTCTGTGTCAACAAATGATTGAACTATGCTTTGTCAGGTTGAGGGTAACTACAGGGATGCTGTCAAATTGGTGATTGATCTAAGGGAATCTGGATTGAAGCCAGAGGTTTATAGCTACCTAATTGCAATGACAGCAGTGGTTAAAGAGCTTAATGAATTTTCTAAAGCTTTGCGTAAGTTGAAAGGTTTTGCACGAGCTGGTTTGGTAGCTGAACTTGATGAGGAAAGTGTTGGTCTTATAGAGAAGTATCAGTCTGATCTTCTAGCTGATGGTGTACGTTTATCTGGTTGGGCAACTCAGGAGGGAAGCTCTTCACTTTACGGGGTGGTTCATGAGAGGCTTCTTGCCATGTACATTTGCGCTGGTCGGGGACTTGAAGCTGAAAGACAGTTATGGGAAATGAAGCTTGTTGGTAAACAAGCTGATGGTGATCTGTACGACATTGTTTTGGCTATCTGTGCTTCTCAAAAGGAGTCCAATGCTATAGTTCGGTTGCTTACCAGAATGGAGGTTTCAAGTTCTCTCCGTAAGAAGAAAACTTTATCATGGTTATTAAGAGGTTACATCAAAGGAGGTCATATCAATGATGCGGCAGAAACATTGATCAAAATGCTGGATTTGGGCTTGCATCCAGATTATTTAGACAGGGTAGCTGTTATGCAGGGACTGAGGAAGAGAATCCAACAACCCGGAAATGTTGAAAGGTATCTTAATCTTTGCAGGAGCCTTTATGATGCGAGTTTGATTGGACCTTGCTTGGTATACTTGTACATAAAAAAATATAAGCTTTGGGTGATCAAAATGCTTTAGATGTCTCTGGTGAAAGTGCGGACCAAATATTACATCAGAGGTACGTCTTAAGAGTTTTGTTCTTGGGTTCTTATAAATAATTGTATAGATGGTGGCTACTGTATACATAAATAATAGTATGTTCTCCAGAATGTTCTCACATTATTCTTGTTCTCCTTGACTCTTCTGAGAAGACCATATTCTTTAGACATACATCCAAGTGTATCGTTTGATTGTCTGGGAATCCATGAGTCTTTTGAGAAATCGAATCTTGATCAACAAAATGAAAAACAGAAACGTATTCAGTTGTCAACGAAATGACCCATTAACAAATTCTGCAAGAAAACTGGATGTAGGGTTTGTTCCTCACATGGGTTCCTAAGCATGTGGCTCTCCATCTTGGCTCTATGCTGAAAGCCCGGAAATTCTCCTTTAGGGACCAGGATATATCGTTTTGATATTGTTCTTGCACATGGGTTAGGACTGAGGTTATTGTCAACATAACTTTTGTTAAGGCTGTCAATTTAATTATAATTTTATTAATTTATAATTTTTTTTCTTTTAAATAGTTAGTTATAATATTTGAAAAAAAATGTATTTATAAATTGATTTTAATATGTTAAATAATAAATATTAATTTTTTTAATAATTAAATTAAAGCAAAAATTTTATAATATTTAGTGACTTAACAAAAGTTATAATAACCATAAAAATTGCCATTAGTTAGAAGCTCTAATAGTATCTATTAAACATCTTGGACTGTTCATCCAAAGTCTAACCAATTCACAAACTCATCTTGTAAGAAAGGGCACTTTGATATAATTTACAAAAGATATACCTAAATCTAATTGAGGTTTACCTAACCATCATTATCAATGAATTTGGTCATAAGTCCGTTTCCATTGGTTTAGAGAGTCTCATATAAAGGTGTTATTTTCTTCTTGGCACATGCATCACGGATCTAATTCATGTGATTGATTAATGACGAGAATACCTTTTTCTTCCAATTATTCCTAACTTTTTTTGCAATTATTAATTACCTTAATGAATTATATATATATATATATATAGATAGATGGAAACAAGACCATCCATGATTTTGACATTTTAACCAATAAAACACTAAACCAAACACATTTTCTTTGATGACAGAATGTTGCTTGCTGTTTTAATAATAGCACATCTCTCAAATGATGTTTTTTAATTAAAAACAATTCTAATTGTAATTGTCCATCTTAATCTCATAATAACAAGAATAAAGTGAGAAGGAAAAAAACATTGATGTCAACTTTTTTGGGCGATTGATAGATTTGGGTTTGAATCTCATGCATAAATCATGAACTATTTTGATTTTTTTTTTTGGTTAAATGATTGAAGGTTGAACTCTAATATATTTGGGGTTCAGCTTTTTGATCCTGAACTATAGGATGGATCTACTTTGCATTTGATGAGTGAGACCCATCAAATTATTATTATATTGTATATAGTTCAGAAGGTCCCCATATGCACCACTTTGCTTAAACTCTATAAAGCTTCAATTCAATCCATTTTCATTTCTTAATAAATCAGCAATTAGACTTAAAATACAGATAAGATCCATTAACCAAAGTTAAATTGTCTCATTCTCGGATGCTGAAGCGGCAGGGAGGCAGTTGGTACTGTTTTGTGCACTGAGAGTGTTTTTTTATGTTGGAGTGGAGTGAGCCACCAAATCAACCTTCTCTGCTGGTGACCATAACTGGGCAAAAAGAAAAAAAAAAATTTATTCTCTGTTTCCTATAAGAGAGAGGCCTTAACCTCGTTAGTGCTTATCCGATGAAAGAAAATTTTCATTCTTTTCCCGAGAAACTAACACCCTGTTGACCTTATGCCTTGTATCAGTCTTCTCTATCTTTCCTTCACAGTGAAGGTGGTGCTTGGAGGAAGGAGGTAAGCAAGCAACCTTCTCTTTTGACTCCTGGGTTTTGCTTTAATGTTTATATTGGGACTTGCCTCTGAATGCTTCTATATTACTTGAATTCATTTCTGAAACTGTGTAGTTTATATTCAGTCGAAAATGTGGGGTCTTGAGCTAAAAGAGAAACTCAAGAGCACCCAAGTTTATGCCTTGAATCAGCCGGACGGCGCCGGCGTTGACACCCTCGGCTGTTCGACCGGAGGGAAGAGTAGATATCATAGAATCAAATTTAAACCGAAATCCAATAGGTGCAGCTCTGCGTCGGTAAGGAAAGCCCTTCTTCCTCATGGACTCCCTAGAACTGACCTCCTTGAACCCACCATAGACCCTCACCTAAAACCCATTAACTTCATAGAAACTTTAGCTGATGTGTATGGCCGATTAGAGACTTGTTTAGAATCAGAGAAATCATTAATATCCATCGAGCAATACTCGATTTTGGGTAGCCTCCGTGATCCCAAGATGATGAGAAGGTGCCTCCGTGCTGCAAGACAGCATGCCCTTGATGTGCATTCGAAGGTTGTACTATCTGCTTGGTTAAGGTATGAGAGGAGAGAAGATGGACTTGAGGGTATATCACCAATAGACTGTAGTGGGTTTCTTCTTGAATGTCCTAAGGCTACTTTGGAATCTGGATGTGAACCAAGTTCAATTTTTGATAATTGCAAGTGTGTAAAGATGCTTGATTGGTCAATTGATAGGCAAATCTTAAGTGGGAATGAGTTTCTGAGTATGGAAGAGGATAGTGCTGTTGTTTGTTTTTCTGTTGGCAATGTGGAAATCAATTGTCTTAGGCCCAAGATTGCTGCACTTTCTTGCACCTTTAAGGCAATGCTATACGGTAGCTTTTTGGAGTCAAAAATGGAAAAGGTTGATTTTTCAGAATCTGGTATTTCTGTAGAGGGAATGAGAGCAGTGGAGTTGTACAGTAGGACTAGAAGAGTGGACTTGTTTTCTCCTCAGATTGTTCTGGAGTTACTGTCTTTTGCAAACTGGTACTGTTGTGAGGAACTGAAGTCTGCTTGTGATGCTTACTTGGTCTCCTTGGTTGGTTGTCTCAACGATGCCTTGATCCTTATTGAATATGGTCTAGAGGAAAGGGCAAACCTTCTTGTAGCTTCTTGCTTGCAGGTGTTCCTACGAGAGCTCCCAAGTTCTCTTTATAATCCAAAAGTGATGCAAATATTCACTAGCTTTGAGGCTAAGGAGAGGTTGGCTTCTGTGGGGCATGCTTCGTTCTTGTTGTATTATTTCCTAAGCCAAGTAGCCATGGAAGAGAACATGGTATCAAACACAACACTAATGTTGTTGAAAAGATTAGCTGAGTGTGCCACAGAAAAATGGCAGAAGGCTCTCTCTTGGCATCAGTTGGGTTGTGTTATGCTTGAGAGAAAAGATTACAGAAGTTCTCAGTATTATTTTGAGGCAGCTGTTGAGACAGGCCATGTTTATTCTTTGGTCGGTGTGGCAAGATCTAAGTACAGGCAAGGACAAGGAAACTCAGCCTATAAATTAATGAACTCTCTTATCTCAGAGTATAAAGCAATTGGGTGGATATATCAGGAACGATCTTTGTATGGCATTGGAAAAGATAAGATTGCAGATTTGAACACTGCAACTGAATTGGATCCAACACTGGCCTTTCCATACAAATATAGAGCAGTTGCAAGGGCAGAGGAAAAGCAGATTAAGAAAGGTATATCAGAGATTGACAGAATCATTGGATTCAAGCTTGCCCCAGATTGTCTTGAATTGAGGGCTTGGTTATTCATAGCGATTGGGGATTATGAAAATGCTTTGAGGGACATTCGAGCGGTGTTAACTTTGGAGCCCAATTATATGATGTTCCATGGGAAAATGAGTGGAGATCATTTGATAGAGCTCTTGGGCCGTAGGGTTCGGCTGAAGAGCCAGGCTGATTGCTGGGTGCAACTTTATGATAGATGGTCTTCAGTAGATGATATTGGCTCCCTAGCTGTCATCCATCAGATGCTTGAAATTGATCCTGGGAAAAGCCTCCTGAGGTTTCGCCAATCTCTGCTTCTTTTGCGGTAAGCTTTTTACTGTCAAACTTACATTTAATTGTCCTAATGAATTGCTACTTTTATTATGCAATGCAATGAAACAATGAAGAATGGTACTATATATCCATTTATGCTTCAGGTTAAATTGCCATAAGGCTGCAATGCGCTGTTTGCGCCTAGCTCGTAACAATTCTGATTCTGAGCACGAGAGGTTGGTTTATGAAGGATGGATTTTATATGATACTGGTTATTGTGAAGAAGCTGTTGCAAGGGCTGAGAAATCCATCCTAATCCAGAAGTCATTTGAGGCCCTTTTCCTTAAAGCATACACCTTGGCAGACACAAAGCTGGATCCTGAATCTGCTTCTTATGTCATTCAACTTTTGGAGGAAGCACTTAAATGCCCTTCAGATGGTTTCAGGAAAGGACAGGTGAGTAAAAATATATGTACTTTGATCCTTGTCCTTTTGCCATGTGCTTGGTAATACTCATTTGATTGCTTATGTGCAACATTTTGCAGGCATTAAATAATCTAGGGAGTATGTATCTGGATTATGGTACTGTAGATCAAGCTGAAAAATGCTACAAGATTGCCCTTGAAATCATGCATACAAGAGCACATCAAGGCTTAGCGCGTGTGTATTTCTTAAGAGGTTGCAGGAAAGCTGCACATGATGAGATGACCAAGCTAATAGAAAAAGCACATAACAATGCATCAGCATATGAAAAAAGGTCAGAATATTGTGATCGTGACACGGTAAAGAATGATCTCGATGCGGCAACACAACTGGATCCGCTGAGAACTTACCCGTATAGATACAGGGCAGCTGGTAACTTTCTAATTTCTATGTAAAAACATATACTTTTCCCAGATTCTATAATTTGATTGGGATTGGAGATCAAAGCTTGTTCTTCCATTGGCTATTTGTTATTTATATATTTTTATTAGTATCGATTCAAAATTTATACTGACATGCAGCATTTTATTATCAGTGCTAATGGATGAGCTAAAAGAAACTGAAGCAGTGGAAGAGCTTACCAAGGCCATAGCTTTCAAGCCTGACCTCCAAATGCTCCATCTTCGAGCAGCATTTTATGAGGCAATGGGAGATCTCAGCTCTGCTCTCTGTGATTGCCAGGCAGCTCTCTGCTTGGACCCAAACCACAAAGACACACTCGATCTGTATAATAGTATATGCAGCTGTACAACAGATCAAGAAGATTTAAGTGAAGAACACCATTATTAATTTCCATTAACTTTCCAGGAAGAAGTGAGGATAGAAATGGTATGTACATCCTTTGTAAGATAAAAAGCTTGATATAGGAAAGCATCTTTCAACTCCCTTTTTGTTGATTATTGATTAGTGATATAGCACTAGTCTATCATTGGAAACAGGACTTGTGCACCAACTAGAGACCCTGACCAAGGTAGTTCCCATGAAACCAAGGACCAACTCATTGCCATACTCTCCTGTTCTTACCCAATATGAACTCTTCCCTTCTCTCACAAGCTCTGTTGCCTCCAAATAGTTTTCCCTGGTAAATCGCCAACTTTCAAATCCTATGTTTTCAAGAAACCTATGATAGCCCCCTGCATTTACCTCCCAATTCTGAAACCTAGCAAGGGAAGAAAGATGGGGTGTCACAAACTGGTATTCCATAACTATTCTTGCCTCTGTGAAATGTACAGGAAAATTCTGCTCCATTGATTCCATCAGTGTTTGAAAATGAACCATCTGCAACTCAGAGAGAACCAAATCCGTTTGCCCTCCATTTTTCAGCGTCATTTCCTATTGCAAAGGTTAGCACACCTTTATTACTACTGCAATACTCTTTAGCTAACTTAAGAAATTCCTGTACATGCCTAAAATTCCGTCTTTCCATGTAAGGAAGCCCTACCATGCAATTGAAGGCCAACCATTCACTTCCTCCTCTTTTCCTTCCCCTTTTCATATCATTTGCCAAACCCTCCATGTCCATCTCCTCCACCCTCAATCTCAAACCAAAACTCCAAGCGCTTTAGAAAGAAACCTTTTTGTCTCCTCAAACTAGTCTTCTTCCTCCCATTGTATTGATGTCAACCTTAACTTCTATGGCCTTGCCTCACGAGTGCCTCAATCAAGGGAGGCCATTGGATGCCATTGCCAATGTCGAAATCCACAATGTGTAGTTCACAGTTCTGAGGGATGGCTTCTAGTATGGCTGGATTGGTGTAGAATGAGCAAACGTTCCATATGGAAACATCTGATAAAAGGCCTTGAAAACTGCCTTACAGTTCTTTCTTGACTCTTGTCCGAGGTACTCTGCTTCCGCTTGTTTGTTCAGATCAAGGGTCAAATAATGAGCCAGACGTTGGAGGGTTTTGCCAGTTGGACATCCCTTATCTTTCAGTCGCCAAAGAATCTCTTCTGCTAGCTCCTTTTGGTTGTTCTCTGTGGCTTCTCCATAAGCTTTCAATAGATGGAGAATACTCAACTCTTCATCTATTCCAATTCCAATGGCTTCAGTGGGCAGAATCAAGGAAGTTTGAAAAGGGGCATCCACAAGAACCTGATCAGTATTTTCTCCATAACTTGAAGAAGCAACAACTTCATTCGGACTCAGAAAAGGCTGCTCGATTGTTAAGATATGAGAGAAATCGAGAGAGGAAGCAAAGCTATATGCCATGTTAGCTTGTAGAGTAGGAAATACAAGCATAGATGAAGCAACATCAGGGATATCTTCAATGGAAATAGATGAAGTAGAGAACTCAAAGATGCCCACTTGGACTTCCATGTCTAAAAAAGAGAGTCCTTCAGAAGATGGCCATTAAGGCCGGAGCTCCCTTTCTATCTTCCTAAATGAATTGTGGTGGGAAATGCATGGAGCAAGGCCTTTTATATATATATATAGCCATGATCAAGATCAAGCCACCAAGGATGATGGGCAGAAATTATAAAAATTCAACCAATCAATTTCATAGGCAGCACAAATTGTCCACACTCGTATTCCATAGGAGTTCCCAAACTTAGCGTTTCAATCCTTCACGTTAATACCCTTCTTCTTTGGCAGTTTCCCAGGACTATTGGTGCTTAGATTATTCAACATTAGATAAGCATCAAAGTCTCCGTCAAATTGTTCGAGTTTAACAAAACTCCAAGGGGCAAAGACACAGTACGTTATCCATCAAGATCTCTTTCTAGACAACATGACCCACCTCAACATTGACACGATTTGAAAATCAAACTTACCTACCCCAGATTTAAAATAGTTAAAAGGATGAAAACAATACATAGATTGTGATAAATATATTCTCTATTCCTAGTTCTAGACATCTGCGTCTGCAGGAGCAGCAGAACAAAGCAATAAAATTTCTTATGTGGAAGGCGAAACAAGAGTATTATAGGCCTCTAGATAATTCCTAATTCAAATCTTGTTGTAGAATCGTGAAACCTATGGCAAAGCACAGTGACTGATTCAAAGGGCCTATTTTTACTTGACTCTGCATAGCAATTGCTGCTGCGGATGCATCAATTGATACGTTATACGTGGGCAACGCAACAGTAGTTGATGAGTTGTAGATGCATCTCTAGCTTGTAATTGATTAGAACTCTGGCTTCTAGTGATTGTCCTTTCATGCTTTATTTTCTCTACCAAAAGAATATATACTAGTGTAAGGCAACACTATCACACAAGTGAGCATCGAGCCTGATAATGGTAAATTATGGGATATTTTCTAAATTCCAAGACCAAAATGGCTGAAAATTTAAAACTCTGCACCCATTTTTCTGTTTTGAATCTAGTTTCAGTGATAAAGAACAATAATAATCTCCAATTAATGTATAACTCCAAATCCCAAAGTACAAAAGAAAAACAAACATTGAAAGTCCTTTTCTTTTTTTCTATAATGAGTTTTATGTTTAGAAGTGAGTTATTCGAATCTCAACTCACAAGTTAAAGAACTCAACTTAAATCACAAAAGGTAAGTCTTAACATTGAAAATTATCATTCCTAAGAACATTAAGAATTGTGCCATCAACAGTTCATGCTAAACACTTGAAAAGCAACCCCTCAACAAGGCTCCACACGCGCATGGTACAAGTTAAAAGCAAATTACATAACAAGCTTTCCTCCTTATCTCCGTTGGCTTTAGGCGCACGGCCAGATACGGAGACAATGAAGGACAAGGGGGTGCAGCCACCCCCCTAAACTTTTGAAAAATATTTAATATGATACTCTAACTTTTATTTGTTAAAAATTGTGTTTTTATAATATGGATTTTAATGTCGTTTTAAATGTAGAGAGAATATTTATGATCTAAATAAAAAGTTTTCAAAAAATAAAAATACGATTTACATAAAATGAACTTTATGAGAATTTAATTAATTAGGAAATTGGGATTCTTAAACATTTTCTTTATCTATTAAACCCCAAAAAAGAAAACTTTGATTTTTTATTTAATCAACTGTAAATTTACATTTTTCTTTGAGACAATATAATTTTGTAACATTTTTCCTCCTAATTTTTTTAGAGATTTTATTAGCAAAAACACATTTTTTTTAATTCATTCTTTAATTGATCATTATATGATTTATTGTTGTATTTTTTTTTTATTATAATAAATACATTCATTTCTAATTATTGTTAAGAATATATCAATAAAAAAATCACAAATAAATCATTTTATAAATAATAAAATTTTAAATAATAAATTAATATTATAAAAGATACTCTTAAAAACTCAAATATTTAATACTAATTTTACCCCCTAAACTAATTTTTCTGGCTCCGTCCCTGCGCACGGCTTGCTAAAATGGCAGAAGGTGCAATTCAGCCCCTGTACCTGCAATGTTGTGGCAATTCAGCCCCTGTACAAGAAACACTGGCAAATCAGCCCTTCTACTA